TTGGCAGATCTCGTTGACTTGGTAGTGCGCAGCTTTAAGCATCACGGCGACCTTAGCGACTTCTGGCGTTTGCTCAAGCCGAGCGAGCTCATTAGTGACCATGGCGAAGTTGGTACTTGGGGTCTTGTAGACATCGTGGCCGTTGACACGGATGAATTCATCATCGAGGTTGCGGTGGAGTGGGTGTGGCCTCCCTTGCGAGTAGCCTTGGCTAGCACAATGGCGGCCTCATTCGCTCGGCGCTGCGCATGGTTGGCATTTCTATTGACATGAGTTGTGCGGTCCTCATCAGTTTCTCCATCCCATGGAGGGCTGTCTATGCTGACATTAAAAATCCCACCTCCACGGAAGGGTGGAAAAGGAGGTTGGACGGCAATGGTTTCGGCGATAATCTCCGTAGAGCCCTGGGGCTCAGAGTTTGGATTTTCCTCCACAATGGTGTGGAGGGATTCTTTAGGATGTTGGCTGACTTACAGCATGTTGATAGTCGGTGAGAGCTGATCGGCGATCGGGTCAGTGAAAGGATAGATGTCTCCAATCTGGTCGGTGAATTTGCCCCTTAGGGCATCCTGACGGATGGTGGCCGTAACTCCTAGAGTTTCCCGATTGGCCTCTGATAGATCAGAACCGGAGGGTGGTCGGCGCCAACCCAGAGTGGTCAAAGCCGATTCCATGATGGAGAGGCAGTCGGCGAGCTTCTGGTTGACCTAATCAATGGATGCAATTAGATCATCATTGTCGACCAGCTTCCTCGAGTAGCGGGGCAACAAGCGGTGAGTAGTTGGTGAAGACGACCTCGAAGGTGGTTTCAAGATCGGATCTGCCATTGCAAGTGTTGGTGTGGTTGGCGTAGAATCGATCTGCATTGGCTTGATGATCTCTCCATCTCTGTCAGCATTGAGGACCCAGGAGATCGATCTGACCGTAAAGATCTGGTCGGGCCTTGGAGAGGACGAAGAGCCTGAAAAGTGTACCATCTTGTTCATCATGGAAACAGCATGCACACCCCTACCTGGCGCACCACTGTCGATGAAATTTGGTCGGCAGTCTATCGAGGGGTATACCCATGGTAGTAGATGAATCGCTGGAGGTGCGCGTGATAGGAATCGGATGGTAACAGAGACACAAGACACAAGATTTATACAGGTTCAGGCCGTCAGCATGACGTAAAACCCTACATCATGTGCTCTGTTATTTTGTATTGATGTGTATCAGATTTGATATATCATCTAGGGGACCCCTACTCCTCCTTATATACTCTGGAGAGGTAGGGTTACAAGGAAAATATCCTATTTGGCATTACAATATCTTCTTGTAGCCTTACGGTGCACGTCGACCAGTGCCGTGTGCCACACGCCTTGATCTTGTGGGCTGGGGCACCTCTGATGGTGCGGCCCATGTCTTGTCTTATGGATACCGTGGGGTATATCCCCCCCCACACCCCCATCCGCGCACCCTACTCCCATCCATTCGCCCCGCTGAAAGGATCAAGATGCCCAAGAGGGGAGGGTGAATTGGGCTAATTCTAAATTTCTTTACAAAAATTAAATCCTACGGTTAGCCCAATTAACCCCTTGTGCCTAAAAAGTATTTCTAATTGTTATACCGCATAAAAGACTTACAACCTATGTTCCAATCCTACTCTAGCATGGCAATTCTAAGAATGTAAATGACAAGAATTGAATTGCTCAAAATAAATGCTTAAAGTAAAGTGAGAAGGAGGAACGCGGCGATATTTTGCCGAGGTATCGGAGAGTCGCCACTCCCTACTAGTCCTCGTTGGAGCACCCGCGCAAGGGTGTAGCTCCCCCTTGATCCGCGCAAGGATCAAGTGCTCTCTACAGGTTGATTCTTCGATGCTCCGTCGCGGTGAATCACCCACAACCGCTCACAACTTGAGTTGGGTCATCCACAAGCTCTCTGGATGATCACCAAGCTCTCCAATCACCACCAAGTCGTCTAGGTGATGGCGATCACCAAGAGTAACAAGCACGAACTCTCACTTGACCACGACAAGCCTAGGGAGAAGGGTGGATGCACACTTTGCTACTCTTGATCTCACTAATGAGGGCTCTCTTTGGGATTCTCAAATCTCAATCACCTCACTAGGACCTTGCTCTTCTTGGCACTCTCTAAGGTGTGTTTCAGCTGTTGGAATGAGCAAAAGTGACTCCACACACGAGTGGAGCTTCTATTTATAACATGGGCTAAAAAACGAACCGTTATGTGCCTCTGCGAGGTGACCGGACGCTCCGGTCATGTTGACCAGATGCTCCGGTCAGTATACCCTGAACTCCAGTGTTTACAGTGTGACCGCAAGCTGCCAGCGTCCGATCGTGATTTTCCCTCTCTGGAACCTTACTGGAGTCGACCGAATGCTGGCTCTCAGCGTCCGGTCGCACCGAACAATTTCCCCTCGGTCAAATGAACTGACCAGACCCTGCGCCAGCGTCCGGTCAGTATTTGACCCTCCATTCACTTTCAACTCTCGATCATACGTAAATGAAGTTTGCTCCAATGGATCTTAGGCATATGTAGGAGCTACCTAGCGCTAGTTTTGACAAGTGTGCACCACACCTAACTCACTAGACTCACCTAGGTCAAGCTACCCGTCCATACCCCCCTTAATAGTACGGCCAAAGGAAAAACAAAGTCCTAAACTACTCTAAGTGTCTCTCCAACTCCAATCGACACTTAGAACTAGTCCATCATTAACCTTATCGTCCATCCTTTAAAAACCGAAACGATTTCCATCGTAGGGGCATGACCACCATGATTGCCCAATCGATCTCCATTACCATGACCTAACTTAATTGCCTCTGCAAAACACACGTTAGTCATAGTAATCTTATATTGTCATTAATCACCGAAACCCAACTAGGGGCCTAGATGCTTTCACCCGCCCTACAGGCGCGCCCCGCCATGTCGTGACCTCGACCGCCGGCCCCCAGCGTGCCGCGCGCCACGTCCACCGGCCATCGGCTCGTCGCGCTCCATTCCTCGGCGCCCGTGACGTGCCACCATCACTCTCCCGTGGCTCTGACTCTCCAAACAACATGAAACACGTGCAACATGAAACACTTGAATGCAATATGCGTCTAAAGCAGATGAAAGATCTAGAAAATACACTTGCAACATATGTATGAAACTATATGCAACATCCAGATAGAACACTTGCAACATGAAAACACTTGCTGCAATGGAAAGACAGGAACAGATGAAGCATTTGGAATATACTGTTGCAACATATATGTGAAACATATGCAACATCCAGATCAAAACGCTTGCAATATACGTATGGAACAGATGAAACATTTTGAACAAACTCTTGCAACATGTCTCTGAAACACTTGCAATATCCCCCGATATACTTTTGCAACATCCATATGAAACAACTGCAACATACTTTTAAAACACTAGAAATATATATTTGCAACATAGGGGGAAGAGCGCCTGTGCCGGTCAATTCTGGACGTCGGGGTGGGAGCCGGCTACGAGTGGCGGCGTGCGAGCACCACCAGCATCGGGCTTGGGTCGGTCGGACCAGCACCAGCGCGCTGACTGGAGGGAGCGAGCGGCAGCGCAACAGGCGCGCGTGACAGGGCACGAGCAAGTGGCGATGGATGGGGCAGGGGGCAGCAGCGAGGGGAGGACGCATCTGCGTCCAAGACAGGGCTGCCGCAAGGCGTTGTGACAGGGGAGGAGGAAGCGGAATAGATAAGGATGGGTGATTTTTTTTAATAAACTCGTGGGCAGAGCAAGCGGCAGGGTAAAAGTGCAAGCAACGAGGTGGTGGCCCTACAGGAGCGTTCGATGCTTTGCTCCTGTCGGACGTAAGACACATAGCATTACCGCTTTTTTAAATTTCATTAGAGAGGATAGTAGGATTGAAGTTTTTTTAAATTTAGGGTTTATTTGCTGTCTAAAGAAAGGCTTATTTGTGGTCCTGACGGCCTTGGAGAAAGAGAGACTGGGCTTCTGAAAAGCCCAGTTCCCCCTTAACGGGCGGACATCAAGTCGGCAGTACGCACGCTGGTTGAAACTTATTAATAGTATAATTTTGCTTCCAGCCCAGTACAGTAGGATGCCTTTTCGGCCTAGCCCGAAACTTCGGACCTTTGTCTCTGATCCGTCAGGTGAGAATGTCAGAATGAGATGCGATGGCAGAAAGCCCAGGAAAGCAGGAATTGATGCCCTGTACTCCCGGAAAGTGCCTTCATCAGTTCATCATCAAATACAGCACGTTGCATTGGTGTGATTCTGAACTGCTTCAACAGATGATGGCATCTTTTTTTTGATGAAACAGATGATGGCATCTTCAAGGACATCATCCAACCATCACACTACATGACTACAAACATTCTTTAATCAAACAAAAAGACTGCATAATTCAACGCGGATGAAGCCAGACCAGCTGGGATGGAAGGGAAACCCAACAAAGTTCAAAGAGCAGTGCGAAATACTAGTACAGTACTGCTGCTACTAGTAGGAACGAACTAGGATTCGAGACATTCAAGTTTTGGTTCGGCAACGTGCTAAAAGATCATGCCCTGTTGAGATCGACATCACAGCAAATTATTTGCAGCTTGTGAGTTTCATTTGAGCAAGTGAGAGCAGTTGCAGAGTCAACCAATGCCCAGTCGAGCTTTAGTTGGTGTCTTCGATTAATTGTCAAAGCCACCTAAATCACTCACCACCTTTGCTCTCAGCATGATTGACTAAACTAAACAAGCTGTTGGTTTTGTTGAGGCACGAGCTGCTGCCTGCTTATCCCAGTGGAATTCCGAAACCTCAGCGCCGTCCATGCGTATAAGGTCTGAGAACCCGTAGCAGCAGTCATCTCACATCTCAAGCAAAAATCTAAGCAGCAGCTAGCTAGCCAACCTCAACCTCACTCAAACATCTGGAACTGCAACCAAGAATCTCCTTCTCCAAGCTCGTTGGTTATCCTAGATAGAGGCATATTTAGCAGGGCCGGGGCACGCCGCACGTACGCCACCATGACGAAGGACGTGGTGATCGAGCACGGCGAGAGCTCCAAGGCGCCCCTGGTGCCCGCGCCGGTGGCGGCGGGCGTCAGCCGCGCCGTGTCCATCGCCGACGTCTTCCTCAGGTTCCTTGCCATCGTCGCCACCATCGCCAGCGCCATCTCCATGGGCACCACCAACGAGACGCTCCCCTTCTTCACGCAGTTCATCCAGTTCGAGGCCAAGTACAGCGATCTCCCGTCCTTCACGTAAGTTCCTTATCTGTCGCTGCTGCAGCCGGTTTCAGTTAATTCTGCTGAGTTGATGCCATCCATGTCTCACGACGCGCAGGTTCTTCGTGGCGGCGAACGCGGTGGTGTGCACGTACCTCGTGCTGTCCATCCCTCTCTCCATCGTGCACATCATCAGGCCCAGGGCGCGCTACAGCCGTCTGATCCTCGTCTTCTTGGACGCGGTAATGAGTTCACGTCGCTTGCATATTACTAGTAAACTGCTAGGAAGAACTTGCTCATAAAGTCATAATAAACTAACGCCCTTCCGACTATTAGGCGATGCTGGCCCTGCTGACGGCCGGCGCGTCGGCGGCGGCGGCGATCGTGTACCTGGCGCACAAGGGCAACGTGCGCGCCAACTGGTTCGCCATCTGCCAGCAGTTCGACTCCTTCTGCGAACGCATCTCGGGCTCCCTCATCGGCTCCTTCGCCGCCATGGTCCTGCTCATAGTCCTCATCTTCCTATCTGCCTTCGCGCTCGCCAGGCGCCACTGATGATCGAGCCCCATCTATCAGCCGTGGGCATCGCAATGGAAGACCGAAGACGAAGTGGCTCTGTTCTCTTCTGGCCGATTTGATCGTGCATGCACCAATACTAATGCTTGCATCTATCTGCTTCTGTTGTGTGGTCTATTTAATTTTCCACTTTTGTTCTTCGTTTGCTCTTTGATCTGAATTGCTAGCTCTCTTTCAATCTTTGAAACTGTGTGGTCCTCCAACTATAAAGGACGAGTTTCAGGTTTTTAGTGTGATGATAATGATTGGAAAGAAAAGGAAAATTATACAATGCAACTCCATCTTTGAGGCTCCTGTCTTCAATCCTATAGCTAATTTCACACTTACACACTGAGTGCTTACAAAGTTTTTTTTTTTTTGCAAACTACATAAGTATACACTCACGCATACTCACCCCTATGAAAATACGTATTGAAACCCTACCCCTATGAGCACCAGATTGTGCCGGCAGATTTTGAGATTGACAAGTCACCAGACGATGGGGACGGAGGGAGTATGAGAAGCTCCTTGTGGAGTTTAAGCTTAAAAAAATAACCACTTTAGTTTTAGAGAATAGTAATCTAAATAATCTTTAGATTTTTATCTAAAATTACCCACGTCCACTGCTTTGGCCGAAACTTGTAGCGTGACGATAATAAGGGTCGAAACAAAGTAGCATTTCTGAAGGGAAATAATGTGAATTATACAATGCAACTCTCGCCCGCTAAGCCGTGTCGCCTGCCGTCCGTGCGGCACAGACGACGCAGCACTCGGTCCCCTTCCCGGAGGCGACGCGTCGGCCGTCGAGGTAGTGCTGGTACACGTACGAGAGGAACCCCCAAACGGCCATGAGCATCGCCACGGCCTTGATGCCCGTCATCCTGTCCCCAAACAGCACCACCGCGAACACCGGCACCAGCGGCAGCGCCACCGTGCCCGTCACGTTGGCGAACAGCGACGACACCCTCGCGACCAGCCGCACTGTGCCCACGGCCGCCGCCTGCCAGCACACCGCCGTGCCCACCAGCGTCAGGACGTACCTCGCCCTCCCGTTCTTGAACGCCGCCATCTCCCCCGGGAGCGTCCGCCACTCCCCGGACGCGAACAGGCCCACCACCCCGACCGCCGTCGCCACGAGGTTCGTGAACATCTGCACCTTGAGCACCCACCGCATCGTCCGCGCCCTGACCACCTTCTCGAACGCCACCTCGAAGAGCGACAGGATGACCGCGAAGGAGGCGGACGCGGCCAGCGTGAGGACGAACCCGAGCGCGTACTTGCCGCGCGGCACGTCGCTGGAGGTCTCGTCGGAGGAGGAACCGATGCTGAGCAGGGCCGCGGCGAAGGTGAGCACGACGACGGAGTTGGCGATGAGCGCCGTGAAGCGCTGCGCGTTGATGAGGCGCGACGTGATGGCGTTGAAGCCTAGCTGCGTCGCGGCCACGAGCGAGAAGGTGGACACCGGCAGGTACAGCAGCGCGTACGCGTACATGAGGTTGTCGAAGCCGAGCAGGACCCCGATGCCCACGTAGACGGCCGCCACCATGGACGCCGCCGGCTGGCGCTCCTCCGCCGGGTGCGGGGGCGTCAGGAGCAGCGGGATGACCAGGAGCGGGGAGCCGCCTGACTGCATGAGCGTGGCCACCCACTTGCTCTTGCCGCCAGAATTGTAGTACAGGCGGCCCAGGAGGGTGCCGACCGTCCCTCCGCAGAGCACCATCAGCATGTCGGCCACCACCGTCATCCACCATCGGGCGCTTCCTCTCGTCAGCCGTCGTTTGGTGGCTTTAGGTTCATCACGGCTCTCCTGTTCACCATTGCCGGATTCCTGTTCTGGAAGAAAAGTTGACGTGGTAATTAGCTAGTTGATAGTAGTACCATTACTCTGAAAAGAAGAAATAAGTAGTAGTAGTGGTACAATTAATAAGGCTGATTCTTACCTCCAAAAAAAAAAACTCATTCTTTTTTCCTAACACAAAAGAAGACAATTAATAGTCTCATAAGGCAGAACTAGTTTGTTTGAAAGGCATTTTTGTTTCATTGAATCAGCTAGCCACTGCGCATATTTGAAAGGCAATTGCCAAGGGTTGCCTATTGCTTGTTTGCTTTCACCCAGCTACTAAATTTGAAATTGTGCATCTATTTATTTCTTTAAAGTTTTTTCATTTGGTTTGAAAGGTACTTATAATAAGCAGATGTTTTGTATAACATTATTAAAGCAACTTATAATTTACAAATCATTAAGTAAACATATCCTGAATTGTTGGATCTAGGATCCAAAATTACACCCCCTAATTACGGCAAAATATACGGTGGAAACCACCTACTAGGTGAAAACATGGAAACCAATTTAAAAAATGTATTTTGGTCATTCAAAAATATTAAAATTTGGCACATCCATAGTGCATACAAATATGTATTCACAAGAAAAAGTTTGGAATTCAAACTCGCATTTTAAAAAATTCACGAAAATGATAAATTTTAGGTTCATATGCACTAAAAGACAAAATTCCTGGATTTGACAAATTTGCTGCTCAGGAATCACAAGCAACTTGGACATTTGACTATTAATTTTAGAAGACGCACCAAGAACACGAGGAAGAAGAAAGATGAACATGTTTTCTACATTTTTCACAAGTAAAAGTTTGGAATTTTTTTAAAAATAGTTTGAGTTTGTATCTCAACTTTTTGTGTGAGTATGATTTTCTATTTGATTTGTATGCACTATGTGATGTGTTGTATGCACTATTGTGTTAATTTTTTTTTGAATGACCGAAATGTATTTTTTGAATTGGTTTCCACGTTTCCACCTAACATGCGGTTTCTACCGTATACCTTAATTTCTAAACCTATATCTCTCTCCTTGAAAAACTATTCTAAGAAACATTTTTGTCGCCCATGCTATCAATTAAAACGACTGAGATTATAGAGGGAGACACCCCCAATGTTACTACGTTGGTTATCTGACAAATTTGCCGGCTCAGGACGGCGACACAATTAAGCATCACAAGCACAAGACAACCTGGACATTTGACTATTAATTTTAGAAGACGCACCAAGAACACGAGGAAAGAAGAAAGATGAACCAATGTTTCCTCTCTCTCTCTCTCTCTCTCTCTCTCTCTCTCTCTCCAAAAGGTGACAAATTTTTTTTAAGATCGGAAACATTCAAAGGCCATGGAAACGAAACAGTACTGTACTTTGTGCTCGTTAAGATCTACTTAAATCATTCAAGCATATTAACGAAAGCGGGAAGAGGAAAAAGAAGCAGGAAGCTAAGAGGGTATATATTCTGTTAAGAGAAGTACCTGTAACTTGAAGCTGAATTTCTTGAGCTTGTGTCATGCTGCAGGCTTAAACTCAAAACCAGGAATAGATGTTGAAAAAAAAAACCAATACCAGGAATAGATGTTCCTACTACTTCACTATGTGTCCTCTAGTTGTCTTTGAAACTTCTTTTACTGAGCAATGAGCTCAAGGCTCCTTGGGATCCTATATAGACTATCCCAACATTAAAAATTGTAAAAAAGAACATCTATTTCCAGCACGATTGGGAGACATCTTTCTAGAAAAAAAAATCATGTCACAATTTTCCTTCAGTCCAAGACCCCACTTGCACAAGGTACACCAATTATAGACCTGCTTGAAGACTCACGGTCACGGCCCCATTTTTTAATCAAATGGATCATGTACCAGCTATAACTTCGCCTATGTATATTCAAAGATTGCGATGCATTACTGCACGGAGGAACTTCCTGCTCAAAGTACGAAATATTTTCAAACATCTCCGAATGAGATCTCTTCCTGTTGGAGAGATCAACAGGAAATACAAGCTGGCAGTTAAAATTGTGCAATTCTCTTACCAATTTTCCCAGAGCTTAAGCAACCCTAGTGCATTGAGTTCTGATGATGACCATGTTTGGGACCGCGTTTCTCGTGGCGGCGGCCAAAATAAGTAGAGAATCCAGCTAAACGATTCTTGATGTTTGTGATTTTTCCAACAATACAAGAGCAAGTATAGTAGCATGCTGGAAGCTGACTAAATGTTAAGGTGGAGGAGAGAGGAGAGGAGAGAGAACAGAAGTGGGTTGTAAGCTTATAGCCGGCTTAGGCACAAGAATCAAGAAAAATTATGAGAGCGATAGCTGAGCCATACATTAATAGTGATGAGCTATCTATTATACGAGTAGACTAAAAAAGGCTATAAAAAAACCTAACAACCAGCGACCGACCGTATTATTAGCCTTCTCTAAGGACTACCACTGCTAGATTAAACTGCACCACCGATTTTTTGTACCGTGCCCGCGGAGCCATGATTCTGCGGCCGTGGACCATGGTCCGAAACAGGCTGATGCACTATCCGCTTTATCGACCTTGAACTATATTGAGGAAGAGGTAAGTAACATATCCGAATATATCCCCCACATACGGAATTAAAGGTCAAGGTCTGTTCACACGAAAGGAAAATACAGTTGTACACTCTCTCATCTCAAACTATAAGATGCTATAGCTTTTTAGATGCACTGATTTTGCTATGTATCTAGATATAAATATATATCTTGTTTTTTAAATTACACAGTACAACGCAGACGTTTAAAATTCACGCAATGCCAAGTCATCTTATAATTTAGAACGAAGGAAGTACATTATTTTTGTTTTTTACACAATAACGTGCACACACTCCCACGTAATCACACCCACCTTTATAAACTCAGGCATGCACAACTTAGCCATATATGAATGCATGGACGTTCACGTACAGTCATACACCAGTTGCACATTAATTTGTTTCAAAAGGCAAATGAATTATTTTTTCAGGAAAACGAAATATTATTTCTAGAGGCAAACTAGCTAGACCCAATCAAGGATTAAATAAGACAACAGTATTAAATCAAGTGTACCTGAAATCGACGGATATGATACCAATTGCATCACGTTGATGTTTCATGAAAATGACAGAGACTTAGTATTAGTTTTTGCAACACAGCTGATTCATGAAAGGTTGAAAGCCTTTGATTTGGTAGCAGTATCAATCACTCCTGCAAGATAAAAACATCATATCCTGCTGGCTGCTATAGTTTTTGCATGTCACATGTCAGTGTCTTCTTATCGCCTTGTTTAGATTGAAAAAAAAAGTTCTTGAATAGTTCAGATTTGGTAAATATTGTTATTGCTCGGCCATTGCTTTACCTATATTTAATACTCCATGCAATGAGGACCGCCTACGTTCAGAGCGTTATTGCTCGGCCATTGCTTTATAAAAGGACTGCGCCGGCTTCATTCCCTTGTATATAGATTAAAAAAATAAAGCCGGCTGCTGGGAGAGATTTTCATTGGGAGCTGGGAGGTGACAGGGGGCATGATAGCATATTCGGAGCCCATTTGGCATAGACACACAGCTTTAGTGCGTCCTTAACCAATGGTTAATGATTTCACTAGCTCATATTAGAATATTGCTGATGTGAAGATGAGAGAACGGAAAAAAAAAAACCCAGCTCGCTAGCGCGCCTACGAGTGGTGATCTCACACACGTACCAAGAGTGGCCATGGGGCTGACCCTCTCTATGCACGTCCTTCCATACTCTGAAATAATCTGTCATCCAACATTTTTGTTCGTCTGTCTTCCACGTGTGCTGACGACGTCAATAATCCTGTTGCAGACGCCCTTAACCATAACGCCCTTAACCATCTATAGGATAATTACTTTCTGAAATTTAGTATGATATCTATGTTCTCACTTGACCTGTAAATCAATACAGAAATCAATACTCTCCGATATCCATGTTAGATCTATAGTTTACAAATTATATTTAGGGTTTGTTTGGATGCATTTCAATCCATCTTAATCCACATGGGTTGGGAGGGATTGGAGTTCATCCAAGCAAGTAAAATGGTTTAAATATTTATATGTAGTCCAATCTAAATACTTTCATTGTATTCGTAGCTCTAGATCTAATAAATTTTAGAGTTGCAAAAATATCTAACTCCAAAAAACTCATGGATATTAGAGCTACAACTATCAAACGAGATCTTGGGTGGGCTCCATGCATCGGTTCAAATCCAATCCATGTTGACCGCATTTATGCATGGGCTTGGCTTGGAATGGTTTAAACGAGTGGTTTTTGCTTTGTGATAGCTTTGATTGGTTGCAACCGATTGAACAGTGGTTTCGACTGGTTTGGAGTAGGCCTTATAATTTTGTTGTAAACTAATTCAGACCATTGGGTTCTAAACAGTTTGAACCTCCTACGTACCTGGAACGAGCAACAATACGCGTTGCCTTTTCATAAAAAAAAAAAGCACAGATGCCCCTCAGTTCTATCTTTCGGAAGAAACAGGATTTGATGCCCTCCATCAGGGGCTAAAGTTTAGTCCGTGTGATATCGGACGACGTTCGGATGTTAATTAGGAGTACTAAACATGAGCTAATTATAAAACTAATTATAGAAGCCGTAACTAATTAGCGAGACGAATCTATTAAGTCTAAGTAATCCATTATTTAGTACATGTTTACTGTAGCAACACATTGTTAGATCATGAACTAATTAGGCTTAATAGATTCATCTCACAAATTAGTCTTAAACTATGCAATTAGTTTTGTAATTAATCTATATTTAATACTATAAATTTGTATGACTGGGACTAAACTTTAGCAATATGAACCAAATGAACGAAATGACATAAGCTGACTGCTCACTTCGGAGTTCTGGTGTTTTTGTTCCTATCTACATTTGACTGTACTAGTTCAATATTTTAAACATTGTAGTATTTGCACATAAATTGCTGATTTAGGTTTTCGAAAAGGCTAAATCTAGTCATTTCAAAATGCTGATCTAGTTTTTGAAGAATATTTAATCTAATCTTTCAAAGTGTTGATCTAGGTTAAGAAAAACATGATGAATGTGGTCATTTCAAAATTTTTATTTAGTTTTTGAAAAATATTGAATATAATCATTTAGGTTTTCAAAATGTGAAATAAAGTGTTTCTTTCATAATGTTGACCTATGTTGAAACTGTTGAATCTAGTCCTTTAAAATGTTGACAGTTTTTTTAAATGTTTTCTCTAGTTTTTCAGTTGAATAAATAGCACGTAAGTCAGACATAAATATCAGAATAGTGATTTTTCTATTAAATCTTAAAATGTGAAACAAAAAGAAAAAAATTACCTTTGCGGGTCAGATGGGCCGTGGGCGTGAGCTTCCGCAGTACGAAGTGATGACTGATGAGGTGTCCACCTTGTTGGGGCCTCTGCAAACAGGTTTTGCAAGTGGTGGTAGGCCGTCACGGCCTCATGGGCTAGGCCTGTGCGATGTACAAACACATTTCTTCGGAAGTCAGATAGGAAGCTCGTTTCCCCTCCGCTTCGCCACAGGCCCACAGCTCACAAGCCGCCGCCACGCCTCCGCCTCCGCCTCCGCCTCGGCCACCGTCGCTGATACGTGCCGGCCTTCGCCTCCGCTCTCTCCCGTCTGTCCCATCCCAGGTCCTCCTCCGCTCCTGCTCCTTCTGATTGTCATCCATGAATACGCCACCGGGGCTGCTCCCAATTTATATAACAAAATAATAATATTTATCTAATCAAGATTCTTCATTAGTTATATTTTCATATTATACCTATTCGTCCTTTGACTTATAATTTTAGCAAACTTGAAAAAGTTTGACTCTCCTTTATAATTTGGGATGATTTGTTCCTTTGATTTGTTCATGTATAGACGATACAATGGATTGCTGGTGCGATTTTTGGTGCACTCGTTTCATGAATTGCAGATCTGTCTATATATACACAAAGATTGTACTGAATTACTGGTGCTCTTGATTTGCTCATGAACACTCAGCAGCCACATGATTGCTTTACTCGCCTACTCGGATGCATTAATACTGTACACTGCAGATCAATTGATGCATAAAAATGAATTTGATGGTGTGATTTCCTCATTCCTGAACCAATTGAACTGGCACAAGTACTTTTTGAGCTGATACACAGGAGTAGTTCTTGTTATGTTTACGGCGGCATGCATGCCCATGCCCTGGGCATCCTAATTGTGCTTAAGAAGTAAAGTTCCACAGCATATACAACTATGAATTTGTTGTCATGTGTCTGTGCATCAAATGCGTTATTTGATATCATCCTGTTCAGTAAACTCATCAATTTTGAGTAGAGGTCACCATAACCTGTCGGTTCTTTTGTTGCATGACAAACTGGTTTTGATAACAGTGTTTGGCATCTAGGGGCTGCTGCTTTCTTTTGTTGCTTGATTTATGCATTCATTACTTAACATATAACTAGAAGAGAGTAGCACTAAATAATCTGGTTGGTTATCAAACTGATATAGTGAGTACTACGTGTGCTGTTAGTAGGCAGTGGCAGGTGCTCAATCTGGAATTAGGCTGAGACGCATAAGCCACCTCGAGAGCCACTCATCCCTAGACCTAGACCTCCTATGCTATTTGGTGCGCCCTTCTATCCAATGTCAAGAGTATTTTTTTATCTGTCTATACATCAATCAGGTGATTTGTTTCCTCCCCGCACTAGATTTTACTGTTTAGCTTTACTGTTTTCTTTTTTTGGTTGGTGCTTGTATCCATTACTTGTGATGAACCGTGTGCCACGGAGTTTAGCTGAAGTAGTGTGATTGATAGAGTTAAGTCGAGATTCAATTATAAATGGATGACTTGTCTTGTTTTTGAATCAAAATGTGACAGAGTGCTTTGCCTGTTCTAACAAAACGGGTGATGAAGTATCTTGATTAAAAGTAGACGGACTCTGCTAGATGCCTAGATTTGTTCTGAAAATTGCTAGATGGAATTTGATTGTAACATGTGTTAGGCTATTTAAACAGAAAATTATGTTGTGTGCTCAGATGAGTAGGGTCTTGTGGTATGTTCCACTTGGAGTTGCTGTTTATGTACAAAGTAAGCATGTCGTAAAACTTCTCTATGTTTCCTTGTTGCAGAACCATAGCAACGCTTTGGTGTGCTTAAGATGTCCATCCTCCGATCCTTTCTCCCAATAGTAGCAAGATCAAATGGTTGGAGATGCTTTTCTACTGGGGTTCCTTCTGATATGATAGCAGAGCTTAATAAGGTTAGGCATTTAAATATTTATTTTGGATATTGTCATTTGGTGCAATTATTTCTCTTGCTGTCGCTTATAACTAAGTATGAGACATGTCATGTACATTGGCACATTCTACTTGAAACTTAATGAAACTGACAGTGACAGGTTCGTTACCCAAGGTTCCAGATTTGTAGCTGTATGACAATTTCAGTTAAAGTTAAAACATTACCTGACAGTTCGCAACGGCTTCTGATGATGCCCAAAGTATATTATTTTGATGCCTCAATTAAAACAACATATGTGTGACTCTTGATGTTGACAACCAAAAGTTACGCACTATTATATTTCTGAGTAGAAACACTTGTAGAACTACCACAATGCCAAATAGAGAGATCAGATGGGTGTTCACAATCTAAAGTCATGCCCCCCTTTTACTTTGGAAGTTGTGCTCATGAGTTTGAAACTATGAATTGCCACTTAAATTTACACCCTTGCAGGTGCATTATAAGGCATTATCCAGAAAAAGGCTAAATATATGTTTGTAGCTTTGTCCTATGCAATGTTGCATGAATGTGTGTTTAAATAATTGTTATTGCGCGTTCAAAGGAATATTTGTTCCTAATTATCTCAAATATTGTGATCATAGGAAATGGAGTCAGTATTTGGTGAATCTCCATCATCCAGTCCTTTGGGCTCAAGTCCGTCCCAGCAACCAGCCCGACATAGTAATGGAGCAGAGGATTCACCACTAGTGCTTACCCATACTGATAGCAGCGGACAGGCGAAGATGGTTGATGTCTCTCCCAAAGAAGACAGTAAGAGAGTCGCTATAGCTAGCTGCAGGGTTTTGCTAGGCCAGAAGGTGTTCAATTTGGTGGCATCTAACGAGATTGCGAAAGGAGATGTTCTTACTGTTGCAAAGATTGCTGGAATAACTGGTGCAAAGCAAACCAGCAATCTTATACCCTTGTGCCACAACATTAATCTTTCACATGTTCGTGTTGATCTCACTCTAAATGAAGAGGATTCTAGTGTCGTGATAGAAGGGGAAGCCACAACCAGCGGAAAGACTGGGGTTGAGATGGAAGCATTGACTGCTGTAGCCATTGCTGGCCTCACAGTTTATGACATGTGCAAAGCTGCTTCAAAGGACATTTGTATAACAGATGTCTGTCTCCAACACAAGTCTGGGGGGAAGAGCGGAAGCTGGTCCAGGAATTAAAAGGTTCAATTGTTGCTCTGAGGATATGAACTGCAAGCAAGATTTCGGCATCAAAAGGATTTGTAGTCCTTACACCAAAAGGTTTTGATTCTGCTTTGAATGTAGGCTCCTTGAATCTTTTTGAGACATCATTTGAGTCTCTGTACTCCTGTGTTGTAGATACGCTGTTCAGTGACTTTATAATAGATGGCCATATCAATTTATTTTCAGATTTATAGTTGGTTACCTTGGTGTATTGTCCATTCTATATTTATCTGTTCTTGTATTTTCCATCATTTCTTGGCATTTGAAATCAAATCATACTGAAATCTAAACGGAATTTGCTATAATGTCTGGTACATATGGCATTCGATATTGTTTTCTTTTTTAACATTAAAAAACAGTTTTATTGATCTGAACGAAACAAAAATGCCAGATGTAGCGAAGGTATCCTTTTACAGCTTTGAGTATCATATTCATATACATACTCTTTCCAATCTTTCTGGGTTACTCATTTTTCCTGAGTAACATAACTTTTGCGTCATTTTGGTGTTGAAGTAGGTCTGTCGGTCACTTGGGTAATTTGACCTCAGGGCATGGTGTTTCGAACTGCATATCATAATTATCATGTCATGTCATTTATGGTATTTCGGGAAAAATTATGTCCATCAATGTCATAGTGAAATAATTTGCAAGGACATCATTGAACCAAAGTATAATTGTTAAATGGAATTCCTTGTGAAAACGATATCTGATCTGTACTGAATTTTTCAGAAAAGGACATATTTATCATCAAATTTATGTACTTATGAGATGAACTAATTGCCTATCACTTTGTATTCAGAACAGCACATATGCTGACAGCAGATAGATGGAAGTAATGACTAATGAATAATCATATTAAAATATGTATTCCATTGTATTGAAAAGGCTGTTGTGCAGAAAGAACGCTTTTTTATTTCTAAAGTTTACATCAACTCTAACGGCCACGACAAAGTATACACCTGATATCTTCACAACTATAGCTTAAATCTTATCATATTGTCCATAACACATTGATCTTATAGTGGATATGATTAGCTCTGCTTTTTATCTTGTATCCAGATCAGTTTGGTTTGCGCATCCAATTTCATTATCTTTGGGGCGGGCATCTATGTATGGGTTCAATATTTGGGACATCTTTGGCCAAAACATGGGAAATGAAAATCATAATGATCAAGCAGACTGTGGGTATTATTTGCTTTCATCCACCTACTTTCTGATGATGAGGCATGCAGACATTCAGAACTTTGCAGACTAGTTGATGTCGACATGGTGGGTATTTGGGGTCACTGAAAAATCATAACCCTAACACTTCCCAACTACTGAGTTAATGCATAACCAACTGAGTATATCAGTTTAACACATTAGCGTTACCATGTTGATGCTGTTACTTTCTGATGATGCAGGGAAATATATATACTCTATCTTGATGTGCCCATACGTATCATTTTGACACATTGGCTGGACGTGGGGGAGCCTGGTGGTGAGATAATGACTCCGAGGCGAGGTACAGTAGCATTAGCCCACATCAAAATCATATTAGGTGGTACTTCATATTTGGTCCACCTTTATTATTCTGTTATGACACGATTCGTCTAGCATTTGTTCAGCATGTTATGGGGAAAAAATATCTGGTTTTTTTTTTTTTTCACGATAAGAACAGGAATGCCTTAGTTTAAGGCCAAAAGGCCAAGCATGCAGGAGGTGAGACAATGACTGTATGAATACAACACCAGAATACAAATATACTACACAAATGACCTCTGTCAGGTTTCCTGTCTCCTTTTTTAAAAATTAGGTTTCCTGTCTCCTAGTTCTTAAAAAGTTAGTTTCTGTGCTTTTATACTGATCTAAACCAAACCTTTGCTTTCAGTTACTTATGCTGATCTGAGCTAAACTTTTATTAATAGCTGCTTTCTTTGCGCAACAGCATGAGGAAACAGTTGGAGTCTACATTTTACGTATAGATGGACCAAGCACCCCATGGCATGACAGTAGTGATGACCGCTGCAAATCTGAAGTAGTTGGGATTCTCGCATCTGACTGCCTGTGTTTTCATTCTCTTTGTAGAAAAATGAACACCTGCACTGAAGTTCGCGAGTACATTGATCATTTGATCTGCATTACTGTGCTAGGATATTGGATGACATGCAGTTTTTTGTACTTCTGCTGTAATGCAGCCACCGCGTCGACGATTTGAAACCAACGCCGCAGAAACATGTCTGGTACTTCAATTCTTTATGGTCTTTGACCACTGGACAGTGGTTGGCTGTCAGAGCTGCTCTTTCTCTCTGGTTATGCCATCTGAAGAGGTCAACTTTCTCTGAGGCCTCATCCTAGCCACTCAGAAATTGTTGTGCTGGCCAGCGGACAGGACAGAAGAGAGTAAGCAGCTAATAAGCATATATAAGAAATGCTCCATCATCAGATTGCGGTCAATGCTCCCTGGTGTCTGCATCTCCACAGATCCTGCAGATCGTGGTTTGACCCGCATTTGATTATGAACAGTGAGTGCATCTGGTTTTTCCTATACCCAGTGCTGTGGTGTCATTTGGGTGGTGTAACCACATGTCCAAATTGATGCACATTGTGAATGATGTTTTGCACAAATACGGAGACTTCGAGCAAAGAGCATCTGGCCTTAGGTAAAAAAGATGCTCAATCTGGAAAGAAAGCGTGGAGAAATCCAAATGGAGCTGCGATGCTTGCTTTCTCGTCTCTGATTCCTGCTATTAGTTGCTAACAGCCTAACATTAGCATCCTGATCGTTTCGGTAAAAATGATTCCCCTGGTTTCTTCACCTTGAATCATCGAGTGCCTACTGGCTTGATATCATGTTCCTGAGGAAAAAAAGCTAAGGTTCCAGAAATGGCGGGAGTGTAGGTTAACACGTCGATTAGGATATGATGATGATTACGAACTCGATAAACTGGCCATCATTTTCGGCTGGGAGGTTCGGTCCGTTTGTAAAGGCCAAACTAATGAATGTGTTGCCGTGCGTGCGTGCTCGCGACAGGATGGGCGAGAGACGTGAGGATTCGAGAAGGCGTTCGACTCAAGAATTGCAGGCTCGGATAGGCAAAGGGTGTTAGTACATTCGTGTGTTCCTGACCGAATTGTGGTATACATACACGTGACAGTAGAAGATGTCGGATTTTGACGCGGCAGTAAATTTTGATAGCCATGGGGGCCTGTTTATTCTTCCCCAGTCAAACATGAGAAAAACGTCGCTGTGGTGTTGCCAAGAAGGGCAGTGCTTCAGCTGGGCTTAGTAAACTGCCGTATCAAATCGTACACGTCCATTTACTTTTACCGTGCCTTTCCGCATCTGCGCTTACTGTCTAGAATGAGAAATGCTACAGCCCGGACGCCAGATAAGGATAAATTTCATTGGACGCCGCCCGCCTGACAAGTCCGCCCCGACGCCTGACCCGTCCCCATCCGCGCACCGCGCACCCTGCCCCATCTCCATCGGTTCGCCCCGCACCTATAGGTGCACCCCGCTCCCATCCCCATCTGTTCGCCCCACCCCCGCATGTGCACCCCCGCCCCGTCGTGCCTCCGACCGTCGGTCCCCATCGCGCCGCACGCCACGTCCGTCGGCCATCGGCTCGTCGTGCCCCATTCCCTGGCGCCCCCTGACTCTCCGAACAGCAGGAAACACGTGGAACATGAAACACTTGAATGCAACATACGTCTGAAACAAATGAAACATCTGGAATATGCACTTGCAACATATGTGTGAAACACACATGCAACATCCAGATAGAATACTTGCAACTTGCAACATGAAAACACTTGTTGCAACAGAAGACTGAAACAGATGGAACATACTGTTGCAACATATGTGTAAAAACATATGCAACATCCACATTAAAACGCTTGCAACATACGTCTTAAAACAGATGAAACGGTTTAAACAAACGCTTGCAACATGCATCTGAAACACTTGCAGCTTATGCAGCATGTGTAACATCCCCCATCTACTTTTGCAACATTCATATAAAACAATTGCAACATGCTCTGAAATGTCTGAAACAACTGAAACATACATCTGCAACATAGGGGGAGAGAGGCCTGGCCAGTCGATTCCGGTCGACTGGGTGGGTGCTAGCGGCTAGCGGCTACGCGTGAGCACCACCCAGCACCAGCACCAGCGGTGCGTGCGAGCACCACCACCACCGGAGCCACCGGCACCGGGCTTGGCTCGACGGCGTGGGGGATGGGGGCAGGGAGCACCATGACCGCTGGGGTGAGGGGGGAAGCTCGGACACCGGGGTGAGAGAGGGCGCCGCCAGGGTGGGGAGGTCGCCGTGCGGGGAGAGTCGCCCACTCCCGTGTAACACCACCGCGCCACCTCCATGGATCTCGCTCCTGCTCTATGGATCTTGTCGGGATGGGGAGAGGGCCGCCAGATTTGTGGGCATTTAGGGCTCCCGGTGAGGACGCTGGGGTGGGAGAGGACGTCGGGCGTTGGTGCACTGCGACAGGGGATGAGGAGCGTGGAAGGAGTAAGGATGGAGAGGAGGAAGCGAAGGGATATGTTTTTTTTAATATACATGCGGACTAGAGCAAGCGGCGAGAATGAAAAAGCTATCCGACGTTTGTGCGGTCTATCGGACACAAGGCACGTAGCATTTCCAATTTTCAGACCCGGGCACCTCCGTGGCATCAGACGTTTACGTGAGTCGGCACTGATACTGTACACGTCAAACAGAAAAAAAAAAGCAGCATAAAACGTTTGCAGAGTTTTTGCACGTGTCGCCCAGCAGAAGCCCACCAGCACAAATGCACACGCGATGCATCTTCTTCCACGCAAATATCATATACTAGTATGGCGGCATGGCGCAGAACCGGAGACGCAGCACACATGGCGGCTTTGCATCAACAAAAGCCGCGACGCCGCAACGAAAAAGAGCCAGGGAAGCCAAGCGGCAGCGACGAAACGGTGCCAGCTCGACTGCTCGACTCGATCAGCT